ATGCTGCCACACTGTGACCAACATGGTTGTTATTTACCTGCTATTCTGCCTCATTTATAATACTGCTTCTCCCCATGAACTTGAATATAGACATCATGAGTTGGTCCAGGCTTGTGAAAAGTATTTGTCACCCTTGGGCAAGTTGCCTTTGAATAAACATATGTAGAAGTGACATAATTATCCTACACAAGAAGGCATATAAAATGATTTCAGACAACAGTTTTCCTCTGCTGGGTAAAAATCCTCATATGACTCGGTGAGGTCAAGTGATATGTAATTTTTATATTCAAGTTGCTACAGTTCAGAATTTCAGAGTAAGTTCAGGTTATAGGTATACTCTTCTGAGGACCTAATATTTCCATGAAATAATTTTAAAATTACTAATTTCTTGGAGTGCATTAATTGATCTCTAAGAAGAATTATAGAATATACATTTTTAAATAATTACTTTTATATACAAATAACTGCCATTGCAAAGTAGGTAAGCTGAGAGGACAACTTTACCAAGCAGACTTAAACTTAGAGACTATTTGCAGATAGTAAATATATTAAGATTTCTTAAGAAAGTCTGTTCTCTACCTCTTCCTTCTTAATAGACTTCAGTACTCTTCTTCAAAGAGAACTTCAACCCCAGATAGATTAAGATGAATTAGTAGATTCTAAATGCATTTTTATTTTTTCAACCTCTGTTGCCCTCAGCCTTGTTCTGTGGCTCTTCATTCCATTATTTGCCTTTAACGCATTTTTTTTTTTTTCTCATGGCACTGTTGTTGTTTAGTCAGTAAGTCCAGGCTGACTCTTTGCGACCCCATGGACTGTACCCTGCCAGGCTCCTCTGTCCATGGAATTCTCTAGGCCTTTCCCTTCTCCAGGGATCTTCCCAACCCAGGGATCGAACCCAGGTCTCCTCCATTGGCAGGCAGATTCTTTACCTCTAAGCCATAGGGAAGCCCTTTTATAGCCATATTTAATACTAAAAATAAGAGCCTATAGCTATGGTTTTCTTCCCAGTGAATGGTAAACAAACTTTCCTTATTGCTACTCTCAAACTACCTTTAATAAATATATTAAACAGACTCCCAAAATTTCTAGTGAGTTCTTAACAAGTATATAGGTGATAGTTCTTTTTTCTTTTCAAAACAAACTACCTTTAAGCTGCTTTTGTGATTTTTTTACTATTTTAAAAATCATATATAATGACTATTTTCATTATATATTGCATAATGACAGTGCTTTTTCTCCATAACCAACACAATGATAAGGTGTCAATAATTTAATAAAATTCAGTAATTCTGAAATTCAGTAATTTGCATGATAAAATCATCCCGTGCTTTATTAAGCAAAAGAATTAAGAATGTTTAACTTTTTAGATCCTGAACCTCAACATGCCTTTGCTATTCAAATCAAAATGCAGTAGCCTCCACATTTGTTACCATGAATTTCAAAAGAATAATTTACATTTCTAAAAAAAAGGGGAGGGGGAAATAATCTGCATTTGTAAAAGCTATTTATATAGGAAGACAAAAGAAAACATAACTAAGCTGGAGTCTTTCCATATCATTGTCTTTTGGGGTCCAGGGAGCAAAACCATGATGTAGGTGAAAAAGTACTATGGCCAGGTTCCAGTGTATGTGATTCAAGCTGAAGAACAAGAAGTTGAACTGTGAATATGTTAACTTGACTCATAAAAGGATGCTAACCAGAGGGTCTCCACTTTTAGAGACCGGGCAAGGGTAAATGAGTTAAAATGGCGGCAGCAGCATCAACGTGGGTTACTTATAAAACAGTGCTTTTCAAAATGTATCAAGAGGCTAAGGACACCCATTGCTCATACCTCTTAGAAAACAAGATTGCTCATTTGCTGGGAACGTTCTTGAAGGAAAGTATCCTTCCTGTTCTGGAAGGCAGGATGGTATCTTTCCTTACTTGAAGGCCATTTTTCTCCCTGGGGGCTCAAACTTTTGAATTGTATCTCATTTATTCTTCTCAAGGTGAATCAAATCCAGTTCCAGAAGTTACAAACTCTGTATCTTTCATAACCTAACTCCCATTGTAGAATCATTCACGAGTTAGGAACTCATCTTCCCACTCCAAAATTCAGCCACATTCCTTGATACGGGGCTTCTCTTCTTACTATGTCTGATATTCAGAGCCATTAAGGGAACATTTATTTCCTGTAATATGCAATGAAGTCCAATTTAAGAAACAGCTCTGTAAAATAGGGACTATAAGGACAGTGGTGGTGGTGTTTTGTTTTGATGTTTGGTTAAGTAGCCTGGGGCAAATGGCTCAGCTTTGGCTGAGCTATATAATTTCTTTTTGGTAACAAAAATCAAAATCACTAAAATTTTCTGAGAAATAAACTACAAACAAATCTGTTTGTGAATGACAGAAAAATCCCTTCTTTCAAAGTATGTTGGAAGTTAAGTATTCAATTGGCTAAATACACTTTTTGGATATTTTAACTTCTGTAATGACTGACATCCAGTAAAGCCTTCAATTTTCTAAAACCAGTACAAAAGCTGTTATAAGTTTAATATTTTGAGTAGTAATCAAGTCACGACTTTTTCAATTCTGATTTGGTCCTGTACACTCTTTTTAACAGGGGTTTGGGCTCCCAAGTCCTCCTCACCAGTCTTTGTATGTTAAAGTGAGTTATTTGTTTCAGTTTAGCAGAGCTGGATGGTAGGTAGCTCTGCATTTGATTGGTTGACTTTTAAAGGATTACTTCTCTGGAAAGATACAGTCTCAAACCACATTGCTAGTGGAGTGGACTTAGCTACAGTTAAAATTTTAAATTGAAGATAAGCATTTACCATCAGAGAGAACATAAACTTCAGGACTCTTGTGTTACACAGATTCTATGTATCATATTTCAGCATTATGTGTTTGTGATGAAGAGCTCTGTTTTCAAGCAACCTTAAATACCAGATCCAGAAATAACAACTGACTCTAGCAAAGAGAGGTAATTTGGGGGTCCCTGTATGTTTTATAATGAAACCAATATATTTTAAAACGATAAATTCCAACTACACAAATTGATGTCAATAAGATTAACAAAACTGATGAATGACATCTAACACAAGTCAAATAAAACACCCCATATAATACTTACACCCAGATGAAATAAAACAATGGCTTTCCAGTTTTATTTTGCATCTCCCAGTTACTCAAAAAGTAAACATGACCCCTTTTCAAATTTCACTTAATATTTTACCTGAAAGAACTTACTGAGTAAAATGCTTAGTTGTAGGATTTCACATTTGCAATCCATCAGGTTACAATTTTAAAGTTACAGTTTCTTCCCCGGTGTAGGCATTCTAGAGTGCTTTTTATTTACATTGTCACTTTTTATTTCCTCCTAAATTTTATATGTTCAAGAATATAACTGTATAGGAGTTATGTAAAAATATTTAAAACTTGCAATATACATACATATTGGTTTATCTATCCCTTGAACCCATGTCTCTGAAAAATAAATACAATGTATCCAAAAGAACTACTTTGGAGCACATGGGGAAGAGTAGAGAGGTGTAGAAATAAAAGAATCGAAAAATACTTGTGTGATGTTTTTGTCCTGTTGACAGCAGTCCCTATGATGTTAACAGACATAGGCAGCCAACTTAGTACACGATATATGTTCTAGAACTGGCCACAATAAGTTGGTAACCAAGTGAGAATTAAGGCTTTACGATCTCTCACAACTGTGATTCAAAAACCCCAAAGCAAGCAAACCCTAAAACCTGGAGAAAGTGCTCCAAATAGAGCCTCTTTGGCAGTCCAAATTGAACCAAATGACTCAGGTGGACAATTAAAAACCGTGAGCCGTTTTCTTTCACTAGGTCAATAAAGTCCATAAATAATGTTTGGTCCAGAAAACTAGACTTACTAGCACCTTCCTTTTCCATTTAAAAAATATTCAGAATATTCAGCATCAATTCTTAATCCATGGTCTTCACTCATTTATTGACTAAACAAGACTGCCGGTGCCTCTAGATCCCTCTTTCCAAGCTGACCTTATATGACAACAAACTGAAATGTTGTCTAAGCAGACCCTCTAAGCAGAGGGTCTAGACCGCGAGGTAAGTCATTCAAAGGTGGACGCATCTTGCTTATTTACTTATGTATTCAAGGGGCTGCGATGGCCACGGCTGGACGACGAGGAGGGAGGCGAAGGGTCGCGTAGATTGTGAGCCGCAGACCCGGAGTGGGAACCCGCAGAGGAGATAGGGGGCAGCTGCCTCGCTCCGCCAGCTCGGCCCTCTGGACCCAGAAAATGACCAATCCCTCCCCCAACTGCACCCTTGACCCCTCCCCCCTCTTTCCAGGCCTTTCATCTGCCCGCCCGCCGGGCAGTTCGCGGCCCCCAGACCTCTCGCCGCCTGCCTCTTTCCACAGCCCAGTCGTGCGGCGCGAACAGACCCGGGGCGAAGCCCACGGCCCGGCGAGGACCCCTACCCCCGGCCCCTCCGGCCGCACCCCTCCCTTTCGTGTAACGCACCTGCGGCCCCGCCCCCGGCCAAAAGCTGAGGCGGCGGCGGGCTGGCGAGGCCGGGCGGCTCGGCCCTCCAGGCACAGTCGCCTTCCCTTCCCCCGCCATTCCGCCCACCCCCCTCGCTCAGCCACCGAGCTGCCGCCGCGCTCCTCAGCCGCCCCGAAATCTAAAGGGGTCCGTCTCCGGCACCACAACCAAATGGCTGAGCCTCCCTGGCCGGCTGCGCAGCCCGCCCATTGGTCCCTTCCCCCCCCGCCTCCACCATCATTCGCTGTTGCCCGGGGATCGGCGGCGGCAATTGGCTAACGCTGCTGCCACTCATTCGCGGGGCCGCCGATCCCGCCTCCACGGTGATCAGGTTAGTGTGCGCCGCGGGTGCTGGGGGCTCGAGAACCGAGCGGAGCTGGTTGAGCCTTCAAAGTCCTAAAACGCGCGGCCGTGGGTTCGGGGTTTATTGATTGAATTCCGCCGGCGCGGGAGCCTCTGCAGAGAGAGAGCGCGAGAGATGGACATGGACAAACGGATTCATTTAGAGCTGCGGAACAGGACGCCCTCTGATGTGAGCATTTGCCAAAAATATCTCTGTCGGTCCATTCTCCTACTTTGTGTGTGTGCGCGTTAGGGGGAGGCACTTTTTTTTTGAGGGGGGGCGCCCGGGAGATGTGGGTTTGGGGGTCGAACTGCAAATGAATTGCAAGGTTGGGGGGTTGCAATGCCATCCAAGCATGTTCCGGCTGCCGCCGCCGCTGCCCTTGGTGTGTGACTACCTGTGCGTGTGCTCCCGCGTGTGCGAATGTGGGTGCGAGAGTGTGCGTGCGAGTGTGCACCCATCGGGGGCCAGCGGGCGCACGCGTTTGGGTCGGAGAGAATGAGGCAAAATAACCCTCTGAGGTCTCTGCTCCCGTGACTCCGTCTGGGGGAAAGATTAACGAGGGAGGAGGAGGAGAGGGGCTGCCTCCTGGATTTAACAACAAAAAAAGGGGGTTTTATATTTTATAAATGAATCCCCCCTTCCGCCCCCCTCCCGCGCCTTCCCCCTCCCTTTCTCTCTCTCTCTCTCGCACACACACAATAAGTTTTGGGCTTCGCGAGTCCGGTTTAGTTTCTGATAAATGTGGGCCGAGGCCCCTGGGGAGAGCGCGTGGGGAGGGGGCTGCAGCGGAGTTGGGAATGGCTCGAGTTTAAAGTGCGTCTTCATTTCTTTGCAGTGATGAGGCGAGAGACGGGGGAGCCATATTTGTAACTTTGTAGTGTTCGTGAACGCGCCCTTTCTCTCCCTCCCTCCCTTTCTCTGCCTCCCTTCCTCTCCTCCTCTGTCTCCCTCACTCTTTCCACCCCACCTTCGGGCCAGATGCTGATGTTTCTTCCTTTCCTTCCGAAGGGAGGATAAATGGAAAGAAGGGGGGGGAGGGATTTTCGAACGTGCAAAGGCACAGATAATCCCCGCGCCTCCCCACCTCGCGCGATCGCTACTGCAAGTTACCCAAAGGCTACGTCCCGGTCCCTTCTCGCCCCTGCTCCTTCCGGCCTCCCTAAGATGCCAGCCTTTGAGCCCTGACGCCCCCCGGCCCCGACCCCCGGCCCGTCTTTCTCTAGGGTGGGCTTCTTGGCAGCCATTCGGCGCCCGATTAATAAATGGGCTCGGGAAACTTTGTCAGGACGCGAGCTGCCCAGAGCTGGTGCCCGTGGTGGGTATTGGCTGGGTCCAGATTTATGCGGGCATAGCAGACACGCAGCTCGGGGATGGGAGTTTGCCTTCCCGTCGCCGTTATTGATTGGGCAGCAGCGGGAGTACAGCCGGAGGAAACTTACACGGATGGGAACTGGGAGGCTCGGGCGAAAGCTCACCCCCAAGGAGGGGAAAGGTGAGGGTGGGTTACTCGGACGCCCGTTTTTATTTCTGTCTCCCTCTCGCTTTCAAACACTGTTTTATGTGAGTTGGCGGCTCAGCGGAGGAGACCCCGGGTCTGGGGCGGAGACGCTGGCTGACTCCTCTGGTGGCCCCTCCGGGACCAGCGGAGCGCGGGCGAGTGGACACCCCCAACCCAGCCCCGGTGGCCAGGGTTCCACAGAGTTAGGAGTTTGGGGAGAACCGTGCGCTGACCTGTCGCCCCTCCAACCCGTTAAAACCCAAATTCCTGGCGGAGGCAGGCCTTGTTTCCTCTTTTCTCTAGTTCCTCCCCCAAACCTGAGTGAGACTTTTGAAAACAAGATCCTTTTTGTGCCCCCCCCCCCCCCCCATCATAACGCAGCTGTGGACTGTAGACGTGCAGTGCCTTATGGCGCGCAGGGCGGGGAGGGGGTGGCGGAGGAGGGGAGGGGTTGCCCGCCGGAGGACGCTGGAGTTTCCGCGAACAATTTGCCGGCGGTTTGCGTTTCTCTGGCCAGTTTCATCCCAGCTTGGACCCCGAGCCAGAGGACTGGGGGGCTGGGTGTGGTGATGGGGGAGGGGGCCGGAGCCGCGGGCTTCCCGCGTACTTTCCGGAAGCCCCCCGTGCGGAGGGGGAAGGGCGCCAAGTAGGGGGCCGGGGTCGCGGCAGGAGGGTGTGGAGGCGCGGTTCGCGCGGCCAACCCTACCCCCGCTGCTGGCCAACTGGGAGCGAGATCGAAAGCGGGTCGAACCGGCTCTTTAAACTTCCCGAGTGTGTGCTGGGGGAGGGGAACGCGCCGCGCCGATCTGGGAGCGATTTCTCACGCTTCGCCCCCTCGCCTCCCGGCCCACACGCCTGCCCCCTGCCTTGAGGCGGGGTGGGGGTGGAGGGGGCACTTTCTGCCCGTTTGGGGAGGAGGGGGAGAAAGCTAGCTAATGAGGGACAAAAGGGGGTGGGGGAGGAGGGGCTCGTTTTTTAGACGTTCTTAAAATAAATAGCTCCCGGAGAGCGCCCCCTGCACCTCTCCCCGCCCTGCTCCCCCCGGGACCCCCCATCACACCCACCTTGGGAGCCTCTCCCAACTCTGATCCGGGGGCTGGTGGCCACGCCGCGACGCCGAAATAGGACGAGCAGCCATGTTTCCCGGGTCTCGCGCGGCCCGCCCCGCCCCTCCCCCATGGCGCGGCCGGCGCCGAGCGCGGGGCTCCGAATGCGGGCGCCGGGCTCCATGCGGCGCGGGGCGCGGGCCGGCGGCCGGGCGACTGGGCGGCCGGGCCTCGTGCGCGCGAGCCGGGCCGCGGGCGCGCGGGGCTGGCCCTCGGGCGGGCCTTTTGGCTTCCCGAGCTGGTTTGGAGCTCGAGGTGTTTTATTATTATTGTATTTTTAACGGCCAGGCCCGCCGGAGACCGAACCCGAAGGGCGCCGAGGCGTTATTGGGGTCCAGGGGCGGCCGCCAGGGCCCTGCACGCCTGTGGCAGGACTGCCGGGCGCCGGGCTGCCATTTTGTCACCGTGGCTGTTGTCGCTGTGGGGGGGGTGGGGGGGGGGCGCAGACTTGCGCCATCGCCCCGACGGCCCCGGACGTGGAAGCAGCAAGGGGAACGGGCTGCGGGGATCCCCAGTCGTGCTCTGGGCCCCGATGTCGGGGGGGGTATCCCCCCCCTTGCCAACGGCCTGAGGCTCTTCTGGAGCGTCGCGGCCGCCGTTGCTCCGGGAGGGCGACGATCCTCCCTGCGAGTGTTCCCCCCACCCCCCAGCGCGCTCCCTGCCTCCCCCGCCCCCCTTCTCTCCAGTATTTCGTCCTTCCTCCGGCAGGCGTTTTAGAGGTAGTTCAGTGTGGCCCTAAAGACGAACGGATCGACCCGGTGTTTGCTTTTTCGGCTGAACTGATAGGAGGGTAGGGGGAGAAATTAAATACGAGGTTTCTTTGGGGGGGTGGGGGCGGGCGGCGATGCGGACGCGACTCTAGCGGCCCTGACTGGAGCCAAGGACGGCAGCCGCTTACCCGGGAGGGACGAGTTGATGCGTTGGGGAAACGCCCTCGGGGCTGGGCTCTCCGGGAAGGTAGGTCGCGCTCCGTGTTTCAGGTGGGTGTTGCAGCGCCCTGCTGGCTGCTAGGGGAGGCCCTCTTGTTCTTCCTCGGCTTCTCCCCTTTTTATTTTTGCCCGCGGGAGGGCGGCTACTGTAGTAAATGTAATCCTAAACCGAGAAGAGTAGGGAATGAGGCTTGATTTTTAAAAAGTCAATGTTATCTTTTTCCAACTGCCTTTCTTTGGCTGTTGACTGCGGAGCCAGGCAAGTCATCCGCGTCGCCAACATCTCTCTGGGACTTTTTAAAGCTGATACCCATGCTGGTTAAGCACCTCACTGGTTAAACTCTGGTACACGTCTGCATGGAGACTAGCTTTCATGGCAGTGGCCAGCCAAAGCTGCCCAGGAAGCCAGGTTTAACTTTGACCTTTGGAATACATCGCATGATGTTTTCCAGACTGACTTACTGCCTAATTGGGTTCAAGTAGCCTGATATTAACTCCAGTTTGTGCAAGCCTACCAGGGATCCGGGGGCAGAAAATTGAGCATGAGTTCTGTATGGTCATGGTCAGTTATGTTTTGTTACTGGGTTGTTGCTCCTGATGGCAGTTTTGAGCCTAAGCTTCACGGGGGTGGTGGGTAGTAGAACCACACAGGCCTGAGTTTAAATTCCTCCTGCCACAGAAGATAAGTTTACCTGACCCTGTGATCTCAGGCAGGTTAACTTAACCTCTTTGATCCTTGGTTTTCTCACCTGTAAAATGGGAATAATCCTGTTTAATAAGTCAGTGACAAAACTGGCCTGATCTGGCCCTCAGGTGCTCAGTATGTGGTAGTTTTATTTCTCAGATATTGGGGTACAATGAGGTACAACTTTGTGCTTCTATAGAGTTTACAGAACAATAATAATAACTAATGCTTGTATAGCACCCATCTATGCCTGGCACAGTGGATTACACAAATCAATCAATTTAGTCCCCACAGCAGCACTGTGAGACAGGTACTATTATTATCCTTATATAAACAGAGGAAATCGAGGCATAAAGATGTTATCACAGCCAAACTTCAAACTCCATCCCTAATCTCTACTGCCTCCCCAGAAGCACCCTTACCTGTAAGGTACAGTGAGGAAAAGCTTTTTCTTCCCTGGTTTTGAAATGGTGCTACCCTATGTGAAAGTTTGAAGACTGGACAGCTTCCTAGTTGAAGATACTGAGGTGGGTGGGCAGGATCGAAGGCTCTCTGGATTTTATGGGGGTTGGGTTGGGGAGGGGAGAGGAGGAGTCAAACATCTACTTCCCTAGATTTGGTTAGCATATCACATCTGGTTAGGCTGAAAGAAATCTGGGCTTTTAGGTGTTGGGGGACACATTGTGAGTAATAGGATAAGCAGGAGCCAGTCATGCGGTGGTGTGTTGGGGATTGTGCATGTAATGCTTCCCCACTTTGATTAGTCTCCTTCTGCAGACACAAAGCTAAACAGAATTGGCACGTCCTTGGTTTCCAAGACCTAGTTTACCAGTAACACTTCTTGGATCATCTCACTTAATCACTTGGCTCCTTAAGGGTAAGCCAAGGAGGGTGACATCCTCTCCTGTGAGGGTGAATCATTCCGATTGAAAGAAAGTCAAACAGCTGGTACATAGCAGAATTGGGTT